TATAATACCTGCACTACCTCAACAGTGTCTACAAGGTTATAAGTCATTTTGTACCAAAAAAGAAGTGCGCCCTCTTCCTACTATATTATTCATATAACTTTGAGAATGAGATACAACAAAAATAAGAAAAATAATAATGTACAGTCTAAGATTGTCTAAACTTGCTACATTATTTCCACTTCACAATAATAGCGTAGGCCTAACATGGTTCGGTTGTGATGACCAGCAGGAAAAATTCGCCGGGGTACAAGCAATAGATGCAAATGTTTTTAATTCTTAAGTGAACAAAACGCTATGCAAGTAGTAAATTGTTATAGGTCCCTGAGCCCCTGTACAATGGTGTTATTCACATAGTGATGATTCAAGTTGACAACGATGAGTATGTTTATACACAGATGCTCCCGTGAGCACAAGGCTGTTCCGTCAGCAGAAGAGGCTCACTTTTCAGCCAAGGCCCTACATCCAGGCCTCACGGTTTTATGATTCATATACGGTACGGTACCGATAAAGGCTAGACAAATCGAGAATGAAATCATCAACATTGATGTAGCTCATAAATCTAACAAACAAAATGTACGCAGCGAGTTATTAATGGGTTAAGTAACTATTTATTTTGGTACCGAAATATCCCGATCAGAATGGTTGAACTCCGACATTTGCAGTAATTGTTCTTTATAAATCCTGACCTATATGCATCGTGCACCCGAGCTTGCTCAACCAATATGGTGTGTTTTTACAGCGTTACGACAATTAATTGAATATGTCATTGGTTCATTACCAGCTTTAATATTTCACCTATTAACTGCAATTCATATTTTATGTTCATAAGCGGCATAACATACATCTTATAGACTAACATTTTTTTCCAGATTTACTTACCACGATAATCGGTGTAATTTAACAAAAAGTGTACACAAAAGCCTTGGCCACAGTGATTCGTCTCTGTGTTAGCGCAAATTATCCTTTGTGCAACCACGGTATATACCTATTGGATGGAGTTATCGTCTCCACCTCTTATATAGGCCTACATGCAAAAAAAATACAGAGAGATCCGACAGACAAACAGCAAAGTAGACCAACGGAAACACAGACACAAGCAGACAACCATATTGTGTTGTTTATTACATATAATAGGGGAAGTCTTAAAGAAACGATGTGGTTTCAATAATGCGTATAAAATACCCTCACATTGTATCGGTAGATCTTTGAAAATATATTGATTATTCTGAATATGATTTTCGTGTTTGTTAAATATAAAACGCATGAATAGCATCACCATCTTTCGGATGAGCGTTTAAAGCTAAACATAAACTAATTAAAAGTACAAAAGAGCATATCGTGGATATAACCCCGATTATAACCCTAAAATTGCGAAAAAGACAACTATTTCTCCAAAGGGGTCCCCTACATGAAACTGATGTGAAGTGAACATAATTGAGTAAAATTGAACATTTTAAGAACAACATTTAGAGTACGGTAATTTACCTAAACGTATAAACGTTGATGATAATAATAATGACAATAACAACAAAATATTATTTTCCATTTTGATTAAGTTCTGATGATGAATGTATTTTCTTGTAACTTATAACCAAACAATTATTATAATATCCGCGACCGTTGTGAACGTTGTGGTTAGGTTGTTATGAGATAACGTTAACACACCGTTGCAGCAAAGTTTAGTCAGAAATTACGTTATCAACGTATCTATGGCTTTTGAAATAAACTTTTTGAATAGTAAATCTGAAAATTTATTATAACGTAAAATTGTCGCTGTGATACCATTTGTGTTTACAAGATATAAGTTAGTCATAATTATTGTCAAAATAAAAATTCTGCATCTGCTATACCTATATACACGTGATATAGTTAAATAAATAATTCTTAATAAACAAATAATTCTTAATAGAGTTCTATTATCTTCTGAAATTTTGATTAAATAAGTTAAATAAATTACAAGCTAGGCCTATGTACAGTAAAATGCTGTGACTACCTAGGCCTAATCTTACGGTATTAATTTATTTTATAAACTAAAAATTTTTACTGGTTAGCCGGTTATTTTTACCAGTAAAATTGACGGCTAAAACGACTTCGGGAGAACACTGAAGTTGAAATAAAGTCGAAAGATTAATATATAAATTGTTGTTCTATGGCATAAACTAACCCTTTTCACAGTGTTGCCCTGTCCATCCAGACTGGCAACCACATATGCCGGGTGAGACGCATTTCCCGCCGTGTAAGCACTTAGACGAACAGACGGCTGCAATAAAACAAAACAAATTGAATGGCACTGTATATTGTATATAAACACTTTCAGTATCAAATGCAATCTTGAGCAAGCCATTCACGATGAGTCATCATTTTAATTTTAGTTTCATCTTCGGGAATTTATCGACTTAATTGTATTCCACCTCAGAGAGTACTTGTAGACCTGTATTTATAATAGTAAAGTGTAGTTAGCGCATGATCCGAGTTTCTATACAAGGAAGCTATGGGCATAGACATATTATCATTCATACGTATTGACTTGGCAATTGCTTTTTAATGGCCCCCCTTTCACTTTTTTCTACAATTTTCTAGAAAGCGCATAGAGGATCCAACGGTGTGCGCTTTACAAGCACAATTATTATTATTATTATTATTATTATTATTATTATTATTATTATTATTATTATTATTATTATTATTATTATTATTAGTATTATTATTATCATTATTATTAATTAATAATAATAATAATTAATATTATTATTATCATTATTATTATTAACTAATAATTGTAATAATAATAATAATAATAATAATAATAATAATAATAATAATAATAATAATACAGTAATATGTATTTCGATAAAGCATTACGAATGGTGTTTTCTGTACGCCTGTTTTTCATTCCACCCTAGAATAATTGTTACATTTTACAGGCTAAATCACAGAACAACGACTCATTTGCTACTACATCATTTTGTTCCCATATTTTATGAAAAACGTCTTAAAGTAGGCATATAACGATCTCTTAAATTTATCGGAACATAACGGTTTACAATTATTATGACTTTAAATAATTAATAATTAATATTTATTCATGTTAGTTTATCGGATTGATCGCGTTAAAATGACGTCACAAGAACTTACGTTCAGTACATGACGTAGCATATTTGTGTGGTAGTTTCCATCCAGGGCAGCACATGATTTTGCTTGTTACTGCTGGCTTTGTATAACGTGTTCGGTAGGCGACGTGGTACACAGCTCTGTAGGGATAGAAAAAATGCAGGTTGTATTTTCAACGTAAGCGTAGATATTAATAGCTTTAAGATCGACAATCATTGTCTCACAGCAACACTAGTAGAAACAAGAACGGACGTCTCACAAGAACACTAGTAGTACAGAAACTCATAGGCCTATTAAATTATCGGATTGGCCAAGTCCAAAATGACGTCACTAGAACTTGTGTTCGCAAAGTCATAAAAACTTTTTGTCAAAATTGCTGTGTCATAAGCCAACGATGAATGTATTTTAAATTGCCGTCTTAATCAATCGACAAATTCAATAACATGCGTCCGCATAATTACATCATTCAGCACAGTCAACCACGACAATGACCAATTTGATAACAATTGACGTCTACTTCAGTGGGGATATCTGAAGATGACAGATGCTAAGCACAGCTCGTAAGGACAGAGTTGCTATTTTGACTGATGACTTCCTGCGCCTTGTACCCATCATATAGGGCAGACTCGCGCTTTAGTTCATCGCCAGTTACTGTGCAATATTTACATTATTGTAGTGGCGGATCCTCGAAATGGGTTTCCATGGGTGAGAGAATCTTAAGTTATGGAGGGTTCAGACCACCTCAGAATCACCATGAATGGGACTGAAGTTTATAAAATGTTGTGGATAGACGACCGAAAACGGCACTCCCAAACTTTGAATATCCACCACCTCCCCCCCCCCCCTCACCTTTTCTTTTTTTGAAAAAAAAAAAAAAAGAAAAGAAAAACTTGATCTGCCAAAACGCCTAAGAAGTTATTTTCGGGTGTCTAGAAAACAAGATTTCACGGGGGCATGCCCCTGGACCCCTATAGTAGTGTTATCTCAATCTGCTCCACCTTCGGCCCCTTTTTGGACATCTATGGATCCGCCCCTGTACAAAGTACTGTAGTTAATTTAATGTTAGTAGTTTCCGATTCGATCCAATCCAAATCCGAATACAGTTAATTCCCTACTCGCACAAAATGACCATGGTTTCGTTCTGTTATATACAGGTTACTCGATACATAGGTTTTTGCGTGGCTACAACAGCACGAAAAACAACTATATCGTAAATCATTCAATCACAAACTTCTAACTGTGTGCGGTATTCGACTGATATGATTATTAAAAAGACGACTGTGGGGTGGTTACATTTTTAACAAGTTAGAAACACTTTAAATAATAAGACGCGTCATTTGTGGGGTCGAATTTAATTTTAGAACTTCATGATAAGTGAGATTTAAAAATGTTTTAGAACGTTTATGTTAACTGTGTGAAAACGTCATTGTAAACTTAATAAATAGAGCCTGATGTTTTTCAAGTTTTTTTTTTTATTGAAATAAAATTACAGCTACTATGTTACAAGACTGCTACATAATCAGAACTGACATGTTGACCTTGATATGTACTTGTAGCGTTTTAGCTATATATTATTTCTATTAGGCCTAATATAATGTTTAGACCGTCACAAAACACTTGCATATTAAATTAGGTTAAAATACACACTTTTTATTAGAAATTAAAATGGATTTTAAACGTTTCTAAGGATTTTGGTTTACTGTCAAAATATTCCTTTCAACTTTCAACACATTTCACTATCAAGGTGCCATATAGACATCGTTTACCAAAATAGGATGAAGTACCAAAATATAGGAAGACTATACTTATACTTATTCACATTGTCCCTTGTGGGACGTTTAGGAAGAAGAGTAGCCTAGCCCTACTTTAAAGTTCTTATAAACAAATTTAATGCCAAATTTAATATGGAGAACTACGGTAGGTTTACCTATAATTATAAATGAAGATTAGTTTAAAATTGAAGGGTGGTGGGATGGTTTGTAAGAACCCATTACGGTAGGTAGCCTATACACTACACTTTACGTTTGTAGTGTTCGATAATAAGCCACAGCTTGGTTACAGTCTTGACTGATGTGTTCTGAGTCATAGGCCATATATAAGTTTATTTTTCTGGCTGAAGTTTTATCCCATCCATCAATTGGTATTATTTTATAAATGACTTAAAGTCTAGTCCGTTCTGTTAATTGCGGTCCGGTCTGGTTTAGAATACCAAACTCTTTTTTTTTTTTCGTATTTTCCAGTTATTACGGACATAGACCTGGATTGACTGCAGACACCAGATTCTTGGCAAACATTTTGTTAGACGATGCTACATAATGTTTGGATTACAACCATGTAAATGCTTGACAGACATGTATAATGGTTAATGAAGGGATTGTTCCGGTATAATTCTGAAAATCAAGAATTTACACATCTGGGCGAATGCATAGAAACCGGGCCTATAATGGTTTTTAGCTGTTGTATCGTGTATCGTATTTATTATCCATTTTTGTTTCTCCTAAATGTTCATTATTATAAATGTGTCTTAATTAGCCGCTAATGTCCAAAGACTTACGGTACCTTATACAGGGGGTAGGGGGCACCGTGTAATCGCTTATGAATAATTTAAAAAAAACAAATAACCGACGATTCCCAAGCTCCAGGGAATTATCTTTGAAAACGCCTCATCTAGTTTGTCAGAATTAAGAACACTCCCTTACAGTTAATTAGTGTTAATGTGTAAACAAACGAATGCAATGTAAAGAGGGCTTGTCAGTAACATTTCCATAAGGAACTTAAAGTGACCTGTCATTGACATTCAAAAGGCATGATGAAGATGATCTGAACCAGATCTCTACCAAATAACAATCAAAAAAGCATGAAATTGACGAGTATCACATTTCGTGACAATAAGGTAAACCCCAAACGACACGAGTCAAAGGTCGTAGCTGATGACGAAGCTTATTAGATTGCTGCACTGAAAGGTTAATTCGTCTAGTAGTGCTTCTTTTATTTAACTACTTTGATTGACAACATTAGGCCTATAACACGTTTTTATTTTCTAATTCTTATTGCTGCTTGACAGGGCCTTTTACCAGAGGTTTGTGGTTGTGTGCAGCCTAGCAACAATCACTGTTGTTTACCCCATGTGCAGAATCAGAACCAATTAGGCCCTTATATCGCATTATATTTCTATAAGAATTGTTGCGTGAATCGGTTATTGTAAAGATGACGTCGATAAATTCTAGGAAAAACACTAGACATTAAAAACAACGATTGAAATTGCTCATAAGTTGACAATTTTGAATAAGTCACAGATCGACATGATTTATATGGGGTTTTGGACCAAAGTCCTTTTGTGGTCTGTGGTTTATAGTGGACAAATTATTAATTAAAATCATAGCCGGATTCAAGGAGGCAGCCGCCACCTCCAAAAGTGGAGAAAAAAAAAACATTTTCAAATTTAAGTCTGAGTGTCATACCAGACAATCTCGAGATAGCCATATCCTAAAATGTTGTACCGAAGCCCCGACCATGGTGAGGCTGAGGTGTTTAAACGCCCCACCTATAAAATTTTCTGCCGGGAAGTCTCTATACTGGTGTACTAGTACTTCCTGGATCCGCCACAGAGCTGAAGATGTATACACTTTTTGTTGAAATTTCAAAATAAGTTTGTTTGCTGATCCTGAGTTTGTAAATCGAGCGCCATCATGACTTACACAAAAGTTTTTCAATAATGTATGTATGCTGTGGTACCTTGTAAACTGTTTGTTTTAGAAATCGACGTACTGTATGTGTGAAAGAGAAGTATGGCATTGCAGGACGGACACAACTATGTTAAAAGTCACATGCATACCTATTGAGGTCTATAGGCCTATTTTACAAATAACTAGAAAGTAGTGATCTGGAAATAAAAACCGGCATCGAGTACACCTGTCGAGTAAAATACACACAACTAAGGTTAACTCATACTTGCATTACCCATCGTTCAATAACCCCTACACGTTGTCCGAGACAGACTTCATATAAGTAGTGGCCGGATATCCTTTACAACAGAGTAATAATAATTTGGTACAGCACATTATTACCTCATCATTATAAACACATATCCCGAGGGACTAGACTTCAAATCTGTGTTAGCTATTAGGCCTAAAAGCAATAAAAAACAATAATAATAATAATAAAAAAAACTCCCAGTCTAACCGTTTGCCCTCACTCGTTTTTGCCAAACTACACATTAGGAAAATTTCCTGTTGACTATTGCAACTGTGGTCGCTGATAGCTAGATTTTACCATAGTGACAAATTAAATTTTCTCCTTGTTTTGGTATGAACGCGGTTAGACCTAATGTATAAATAGATATTGCAATTGGAAGTTAAAATTGAATGAGGGTTAACCCAATTAAAGGTGAATAAGAAGATAGGCGCCTAGTATTCGTGTTTCCATTTACAATCCTTTTAGGGAATATTGCTGATAAAGGGTTTCCCCTGTGGTGATACCAACATTACGTTGAATGCTGGTGCGTTTAACAGCATCCGGACAAAAGCATATTCTTGTATCTTCCACACATCATACTTCATGAATAGTTAACTCCCTACAACACGAACAGGCGAAGACACCAACTCCCAAAATCCTATATCACAATTGTAGGATGCAAACTCACACTCACTCATGAAATTTAAACTCCCGGTATAGACCAATTCACAACATGATAAAGATGAAGACACACACAGTATCTTTCAAACCACTCACAAAAAAGTAACCAGTCACATGATCAGTCCGAGAGGAAACACCAAGGTAGAATCCAAACTCTTTCTGAAGAAGCGATCAGTCATACTTCACAAGAAGGCGGCAACACTGGAAGCACACCTCTCATGAGAGAAGAAGCCAGACACATCACTCAAGGAGGAAGGAACACCAAATGAGAATCACACCCTTACGGGAAAAGCAGTCACATCACGAAGGGAAGAGGAAACACTATGAATCACAGCTCGGACGAAACAACAGTCACACCACTTAGAGAGGAGGCAATACTAGCCACATCTATCACATAAGAAGCAACCTGTCATCTCTGTAGGACGAAGAAACACTAAAAATTACACCTCCCAAAAGGAAGAAGCAACATCACTCAGAGAGTCAAGAAGTTAGGAACACCAAATGAGATCACACCCTCACGGAATAAGCAGTCACATCACTAAGGGAAGAGGAAACACTATGAATCACAACTTGGAAGAAACAACAGTCACACCATTCACGGAGAAGGCAACACTAAGTATGAACTTATCACATAAGAAGCAACCTGTCATTGAATGAGGAGAAAACACGAAATATGACACCTCTCAAAGGAAGAAGGAACATCACCCAGAGAGAGCAGGAAAAACCAAGTATTTATCACACATCTCAAAGAAGAAGCATCCAATCAAACCACGTATGAGGAGCAACACCAGGTATGAATCACATCTCTTATGGAAGAACAACCACACCACTAAGGAAAAGAAAACACCAAGTATCAGCCACACCTCTCAAAGAAGAAGTAACCAGTCCCACTATCACCGGAAGGTGGCAACCCGATACCTCGGGAGAAACAACGGGATACACTGCTCGGAGTGGGGACAACACCAAGTATGAATCACATCTCACACCGGAAGAAGAAAACGGTCAAACCACTGAGGAAGAGGAAACACTAAGTATGAACTTCCCTCAGGAAAGGGCAACCCTAAGTATGATTGACACCTCTCAAGGGAGGAATAACGAGTTACACTATTTATAGAGAAGACAACACCAAGTATCACACCTCTCAAAAATTATTCTGGTCCCACTAGCATCCCTAAGTGAAGTGAATGCAGCACCTCTCAAGGAAGAAGCAACTAGTACTCTGCCCTGGAAGGAGGGAACACCAAGAGACGAAACAGCCGTTACACTGCTCGGGGTAGGGGGAGGGTGGGGTGAGGAGGCAGACAGCATCATGGTATGAATGATACTTCTCGCGGAAGAGGCAACCAGTAATTGACCCCGTTATCCACTGGCGCGACCAGTGGAATAGTTAGTGTCAATCTTACTACTCAAGAAGGTGGCAACCCTAAGTATGAATGACACCTTTTAAGGGAGAAACAATAAATTACACTACTCAGGGAGGAGAAGATAAGACCATGCATGAATCACGCCTCTCACGAAAGAGGCAAAGTCACTAGAACCGTCCTCCACTGGCGCGTCCACTGGAAAACTAAGTGTCAGTCACATGACTCAGGGAAGAAACTACTCCTCAATACATTATACATTACTAGTAAGGGGACTACATTTTTATTCTTACTTGTATCGAGTGCACATCGAACGTCCATTGCTGCATATAGTTACGTAAGGCTTGAATACTGGTTGGTAATACGACTCAATTATCATCCTTGGCTTCTGGTTAACCTCTGAATTGCTACACACATGTCTCCTGTACATGAAAATAGAAAAATAAATTCAAAAATAAGCCAATATGATTCTCAATATTACAGACAAATAGTGAAAGATTAATAAAAAGAAAAAAAATATAAAAATAGGAATTTAAACATAACAAATATGCTACAAGATGATGTTTGCCCAACCTGACGTGTTATAAATACTGAATGCTCATTGCATTCCTAACAATTAATGAAAAAAACATACACATTATAAATAATGTATTGACATTATGAAGTCTTCATCGCTTTGGAAATTTAAATTCCCTGTTGGAAGTCATTTTGAGTAAATTAATTTGAATGTGTCAGTATTGTAAGATAATTTATTTGATTGCTGATCATGGTTGTCCTAATTAAATTAATTGATGAATGTTTATGTAACCTATAGATAATACTAAGACCTCATATAGGCTATACATAAACGTTAATGAGCAAGATACAATATGTTCAACGATGTAGGTAGATCGTTCGTTTGGAATCGTAAACCACTTGAGCTATCAAATGAAATTTTGCAAGCAATTCTGGTAACCATAAAGCTACCACATCGGATCCGGGAAGAACTTCGGACCACGTTTCAGATGCGCTGAACGCCAGCGTTCCTATTCCACACTGATTCGGTGTGAATGCTGCTTAAAACCACGACCCTATAAAGTTCTCAATCACATGTCAACATGAAATGATGTTTAGACATTCTACTCTTGGCATTGTTTACAGTTATTCAAACTCTCGTCTAGTTTGCAAAGCAAACAGTGAACATCAACCGACAAGATGAGTGAATTTGATATTCCAAACCATTCTAATTTGACATATGGATTCTGTGGAATGTGTTATTTCAAAAAGGAAACGCGTCAATAAAAGCGCGTTTGCTTATCCTAAATGTCAAATCACTTTTAATAATTATCGCTATCCTAGTGAATTTTACGGATAAAACAGAGAAGAATTGTTACCTGATTATAATTGTATAACTACAACCTGGTTTCCTTAAAATCGCTACACTGTCGCTACAGTGTTCTGATTGAAATCGTTGAACTGCGTTGCAGTTGGGAAGGAGCCCGATACGACCGATCAATCATCATCACCAAAAGCTGTCGGCGATAGAGTGTAGCGATTGTATGGAAACCAAGCTTAACTATAACATAATAAATAATCTAGTATTTTACCAGCACAATTCCATTTCATGCTGTTTACAGCCCTATTGCCACTGATAGTTGTTGGAACGGTACATGAACTTCTTTTTATTGGAATGTGCACCCAGAGTGGTCAATACAAACGCGTTTGCTTAAACTAAATGCCAAATTACTTTAAATGATATTATTAATAATAATGTCAATCCCAATGAACTTTTGCAGATAAAACCACAAAGACGAAGTGTAATCAGATGATGATAATAGTACTATTTAAATTTATGTAGAGGTTAACCTTAGGTAGGACAACATTTATTTTGTTGGTGTCTCGGTTAACACATGTTATGTTCAATCGTGTCTTGCACCCCTCTGTTTTTGTTTCATATTATTTTCTTGTTTATGTAGGCCTATTGTACTGGTAGGGTGATCGAACTTCGAGCTTTATTGGCCGAGCGGTTAAGTCAGGGGCACCGTAACCTTAGCTCTAATATCGGCGCTGGTTCGAACGGCTCACTCGCCAATGCTCGCCAATGGTTCCGGTGGTGGAACAAGTCTTCTCGGATAAGGACTTTAAACCGCAGGCCCAGCGTATGCATTTGGCTCGTGTGCACTTTAAAGAACCCAGTACATTGTTCGAGAAGAGTAGGGGGTTACCCCGGTTTACTGGTCCATTAATTCCCCTGTTGTTAAACGGATATGCCACGTAGGACAGTGATTAAATTCACTTATTGGCATATCCTTGGCGCTCGTGCCTAAAGAAATTAAATGAAATTTACTCTTCTTAACCCACCTGTTATATTGTGTCATTATACATTCACTTACATTTGGTGAATAAACAAAACTTAAAATTTGTACTCACCACTGTGTAACTGTATAACTCACTTAATAAATAATCTAGCTAATATTGTATCTACGCAATTCTATTTCAGGCTGTTTGTATTGATGATTGTTGTGAAGGCAAAATAGACCACGACATTTTTTATTGGAATGCGTTCATTGTGTACACCAAAGTCGTCAATAAAAGCGCGTTTGCTTATCCTAAATGTCAAATCACATTTAATAATTACCGCTAGCCTATCCCAGTAAACTGTTACGAGTTATACCATAGGGAAGAGGTTTTACCTATGATTGTAGTTTCACTCACCGCCCTGTAATTATATAACTAACTTAATAAATCATGAAGGTAGTAGTTTACCGACTCAATTCTATTTATTGCAGTTTATGTTGATGATTGTTGCTACGGCAGAGTCGACCACAACATTTTTAATTAGAATGTGTATATATATCTACCGTATGCCTTCACAAGATGTTGCCAATAAAAAGGCGTTTGCTTACCCTAAATGTCATATCACTTTAATAGGTATTCGCTGTCCCAGTGAACTGTTACGAATTATACCAGGGGAGAAGTGTTCTCTATGATGCTCATCGTTCTGTGAATATAAAACTAACTAACAAAATAAATACATCAAATATAAAGATTGTTGCGAAGGCGAAGTTTACCGCAACTTTTTTATTATTTAGGATTTGCGCAATATGAGCACAAGAGTGACTTTGATTTTTGCATTTGTTTATTGGCTACTTGTATTATGCCTATTTAAAAGTCGGAAATACGAGTGAAGATGTATGATTCCATCAAGTTTGGCGGTAAACGGAAGTTATATACTGTTATATAAGACTGCAACATGCAACATAATATATTCCTTAAATATGACTAACTATGATAATTACTTATAACAATTATTCGCACCAATCCATATGGGGTCGGGCAGATCAAAATACTGTAATTCAACACTGCACAAAATTACAAATATTAATATGGGCAAACCGAAAGTAGGCGAGGGGTCGTATGCAAAGACAATGGGGAAGTTGACAGACAGGGCCATCGGACGAAAACTTCAAATTGAGGATGTGATGGCTAAATGATACATTTGAGGGAGGGGGATGGGAGGTAGAGGAATGGGAAACCTGTCCGACAGGGAGGTCTGATAGCATCCGGCGAACTTGGCAGGGTCTAAGGTCTAATCCTCCTAATGTCAAGGGAAAGTGTGCAAGTTTGTGTCAGTTAAAGTTATTAAGAGACGTGAACGCATTAGAAGTAATTAATTAATTAATTATGTCAGTGGTAAGCAGTAGGACCGTTCACATCAAATTCGTACGATTTCCAATCCGGACTCCGGATCCGGAGCGATGGATCTGAGTTTTTTTTTTGTTTGTTTGTTTTTTTGTTTTTTTTTTCGTTAGACCAATCAGCAACAAGCCTGGTTGGTTCGAACCAATCGAAAGCATATAGGCCTACGTACTTGACCCCAAATAACCGTGTTCCGTACGCAATGTGAACGCAGCGTTCAAAAAACGCAACTCACCATTTTTTTTTATGTGAACGTAGCTTTAACACAGATAATAAATAGCAGAAGATAGAGCAGCTTCCCAATATAGTGGAACATCCTTTCGAAATGCATTGTGGGTACACGGAGAGCAATTTTACCCAGTCCGCTTTTTAAGTTCTTTGGCTTTACTTCCAAAAATGTACAACACACAGCAGTATAATACGGATTAGCTAAGAGGACTGGTATCCGTCATGTCTACTCTGGGCATATTTTTAAAAAGTTAACGGAGGGTTAATTCCCTATTTGAAGTAACATGCATAGCATATATCTTAATGAAATGGATACAAAGGTTTCCTATTTTATCAAGGAATTAAAGAATTAGAGAGAAAGGCAAAACAGACTTGCCGTTAGGAAAACTCTCGAATTTAATTAGGCCTGAGGGTCAAGAATTTCTTTTTATTTTGATTATTCTGGGATAATGCCATCGTGTGTAGTGAGTTTAAGGGATTACCACGTCCTGGCGACGCAGAGTAAATCCAACTTATCTTGGCTTAGTGATGGATTAAAATCATAACCGTGAAACGTTTCTTTAAGTGACACGATACGAGCGAATATGTTTTATAAATGGACTCAAAAAAGCCGAATTAGTAAAAAAAACCCACTGATTATGACATGGAATTGAACTCATGACCCTATGGATAACATCGGTGCTTCATAGTTTGAATTATCCTCTCTGTCGGCATCTATCCATGCTAATGGCCAACAGCGTTCGCAAAATATATAGATCAAAAGAAACGCAACCAGAGGGTACGTCCTTAACTTTCGTCAATAGTGCACACACTTAACGTCCGCTAAGTGTGCAGAGCCGGTTGAATCGCAGCTTTGTATTACTACGGCAACTTCAATGCCCACATCCTGGCCTAATGATAGATTGCTGGTTAAAATGTAAAGATTTCGATCTTGACAAAAAAAAAATAGGACCTATTAGTACATTTTCGATTGTTTAAAAAATGTGCGGTGCGAAAACTAAACTCAAGGACCACTGCAAGTATTAGGTGAGGGCCACGCAATAACGCACAGCGAGGAGAATTAATCTCCAATTTTGTTATTGATGTTGGGTGGTGGTATAAGTGATGGTGGTGGTGTTGTCAGTATTAGGATTAAGTCTTGTAACCACAAACAATAATCAAACGTTGGTTAAACAACAATATCTTGGTTTCAAATTTGTTACGATAATGTATGGTGATTATTCCTAAGAGTGGTACGGTAAGTTAATTCGTATAATCCCACCCCCATAAGCCTGAAATAGACCATGCCTGTATATTTTAGAAAATGACAGAGCAATTAAATACATTATAGGCCTACACAATCTTGGAGCACAGTTTAAGTTTATTAAAAACAATCGTAATTATTTAATTCAAGTAAAAATTCAAAAGATTTGCAGCTAGATATAATTTAAATGACTTTGGAGGCAGTTTCTATGTATCACCTATTTCTTTCTTAAATTGACCGAAAAAGAAATCAAAAGCCGGGCATTTCCTGATG